GTAAAATTTAGCTCCTCGTTCTAGTCATCATCGAGCACCTGAATCATCTTAGACAAAATCATGTTCCAACCTACATTTTTATCTCAATTGGATGTAAATCACAATAGAGGGGAAAAGGTTTTTAACGTCTATTTGATGCTGACTTTAAAGAATGGTCATGTGACCTTTAATACAGAAGAGTTTTGATTGGAGCTTTGTGAAATATTCCTTTAAATTGCCTAAAAATAGACCAAATGTAAACATATAAATGTTTTTGTGATAAATAGGCAGTAATGCAAGACTGATATATTTCCATTTTGTGTATTTTCGATTTGCGATTTCATTTTGCGCAATTTGAATTGAAGTGAAAATGCGGCAAACCTGAAGTTCACCCAATGGAAAGCGTTCTAGAGAAGAGTTCAGGTCTTTCTCCGACATCTGAAATAATGTTCGCACACAGATCTGATTCCTCTCCAGAATTTAGCTTTGAACGCACAGCCAATCTCACCCACTTCAAAGCTCGTCTGCCGGTGAAGGCCAAACAGTCGATAAATTATGGGATTTTTAGCCGGCGTCTGCGGAGAGGTCATTTGTATCAATATCTTTGATTTTCGCCAATGTTAGATAATGAGCAGGAGGAGCTGCCATGGAGAAAGGGCGAAATCTGCTCATATCACATTCAGATGCTTCATTAGAGTCTTTATGGAACGGTATTTGATCCGTTTGGGCGTATATGACATCTGAACATCTGAAAACCAGCAGATTTGTCACTCTAATTAGTGCTCAGATCCACGTCCTCTGGTTAACCACAGGCTCGAACGAATGGTTCACCTGAAAATAAACATTTTAACGTCATTAACTCATCTTTTTCAACACATTATCTTTCTCGGATGGTGCTTGTGTGTATGTCATTCATCAAAGTAAATGCATTTGCGCTATAAAAATAATAATAAATAAATAATAGAAGCACCATAAATGTATCATCAAACAGTCTACATGAATACTAAAGTCTTGGGACATAGATTTGAGAGCTACAGATGAGATCAAAATTTGTATAAAGATGAAACTTCAGGATGTAGGATCAGTATATTGAGACAGATATTAATATAGACTATTTATTATTTCCATTTTTGGGGTATAAAACACCTTATTATTATTATTTGTTTTTTTAAGATTTTTTTTCAGCTTATCCCACCAGGTCAAAATTGCATGTTTGACGAAAAAAGAGAAATAAAATATATAATCTCATTGCATAGAAATAGTGGCGTTGCTCGCTGCAGAAGTTAGGACTTTCTCAACTTTTCAAGCGCCAAAGGAAGCATCAGCCAATCAGATCGCTGTATGGAAATACACCAGCTCAGACAGTGGCCTATTGCTGACTAATTTCATTGGCTGACGCTACTATGACAGTCATATCAGCCCCAACTTCAGACACGCCCTCTGTCAAGCGTTGACGCTGAAGCTCCGTGTGAATCGAGCGTAAGTTGGTGGATCATTCCACTGTGGCGACCCCAGATTAATAAATGTACTAAGCCAAAAATAAATGAATGAATGAATGATTATTTAGACCATAGGGCTTATATTATTTAGTAGAATTAATTTACTTAATGTTTAGTTAAGAAAAAAATAATGAATATTTAGCCAAGATATATCTGTCTGAATATCTGCAAAAAAAAAAATTTAAATATTAAGAGAATTGTCTTTAAATTAAAAATTGATGCCCTTAGCAAACAATTTTACAAATCAAAAATTGAGATTTGATATATTTACTTAAAAAATTAACTAAATGTCTTTATGGCAGAGGATATTTACCTAATAAACAATTTTAATAAATATTAATAAATAAAATATAATATTTTTATATTGAGTTATATAATGTAATTTTGGCTATTCCCGCTTATATATACGCTCTTGCAATGTACAGTAAGACTGGTTAATGCCCCAGGATCGCATATTAGCAAACAATTAAAAATGAAATAACATAAAAATGTTAAGCACTTCATGCGTGTTTTGCTTGCTTGATGTAAATTGTTTAAAAATATATGTTACTTTCTGGGCTGGTTCAAATCCCGGCTGGGCCAGTTGGCATTTCTGTGTGGAGTTTGCATGGTCTCCCTGTGTTCGTGTTGGTTTCCTCCCGGTGCTCCGGTTTCTCCCACAAGTCCAAAGACATGCGCTTTAGGTAAATTGAATGAACTAAATTGGCCGTGGTATATGAGTGAGTGGGTGTTTCCCAGTACTGGGTTGTGGCTGGAAGGGCATCCACTGTGTGAAACATATACTGGAATAGTTGGCGATTCATTCCACTGTGGTGACACTGTGGACACTGGAGCGAATGGATGAATTTAGACTTATGCTCTGTAATGCAATGTTGGCTATTTTCACTATCTACTGTACCTGTGCAATATACAAATATGACATATTATAGAGGACCAGGAGTGCCAGAGCTTTATTAAATGAAAACACAGTTTAAAGAAACACGTTTAAATAGATTAATTTTTTTCCATGAATTGTTTCATTTAATTTGTGATTTATTTATATACATTTTTATCCTTAAGTTATTAAATTGATAATTTGATTCTTCATTTTATTTCTAACCGGCACTCCTGGTTCTCCATAACATATTAGCAGACGAGTAAATATACAGTAAAATAAAGCTTCAACACACTTTATGCATGTTTTGCCTGCTTGATGTAAAAAAAAATGTTTTAGAAAATAAATATATTCTAAAATATTTCAGAATCAGTATGAGCTTTATTAGCCAAGTGTGCACAATTTTATGTGGTTTTCAGGAGCTCAGAGTACATACTTACATACAGTATATATTAACACAACAACAAAGAAAGAAATTTAAGTAAGTGGAAAATAGTAGTAAACAATAATATTGTTAGAAAGTAAACAATACAATTTCTGAAGAACTCTACAGATAAAGTCATAGAACTATAGAAAATTTATTTCACTGAGCTGTTGCTTTAAGGACAGTTTTTATTTTATTTATTTATTTTAAAACAAAATGAAACATTCACATTACATTATATCACATTACATGCCAGGGAGCAAAACAGAAATGTATCTTTTAAACAGATTCACAGTTTTTACAGCTTTCTTGTTAGTACATTCAGAAATCAAAGACATATAAAGATTTAGATCTTCAAGAAAAATCTGAAAGAAAAGGTTTACGCTTACAAAATATACACTTGCGTATAAAACATTTGGCAAAAATATAATAAGATTAAATGAATAAAAAACATCTGGATGTTCATTCTGATGGTTATATCCTAAAATAACATTTTCATATTTTAACATAACATCAGGAATTATACCACTAAATATACCTAATACATTTTTCCAAACATTTGTGGGATAATCACAATTCCAAAAAAAATTTAGACAGATCTTCAGTTTGGTGATCACAGAAGGAGCAATTTACATCAAAATCCTCAGAAATAATTTGTAAAAAAAAAAAAAAAAAAAAAAACCTTTGTAGGATAACACCCACAATTGGAGTCAGAATTATTAGTCCTCTGAATTATTAGCCTCCCGGTTTATTTTTTCCCCCAATTTCTGTTTAACGGAGAGAAGATTTTTTCAACACGTTTCTTATCATAATAGTTTTAATAACTCATTTTTAATTACTGATTTAATAATATTTTACTAGATATTTTTCAGGACACTTCTATACAGCTTAAAGTGACATTTAAAGGCTTAACTAGGTTAATTAGGTTAACTAGGCAGGTTAGGGTAATTAAGCAAGTTATTGTATAATGAAGGTTTGTTAGACTATCTGGAAAAAAATTTGCTTAAAGGGGCTAATAATTTTTACCTTAAAATGGTGATCAAAAAACTAAAAACTGCTTTTATTCTTGCTGAAATAAAACAAATAAGACTTTCTCCAGAAGAAAAAATATTATCAGACATACTGTGAACATTTCCTGGCTCTGAAAAAACATAATTTGGGAAATATTTAAAAAAGAAAAATATTCAAAGGGGGGCGAATAATTCTGACTTCAACTGTATTATTTTTTAAGACACTTTACAGATTTTATTGTACATTAGGAATTTCTGAGGTAAAGTCCATACTCTTTTTCAGTTATAATTACCTTTATGTCTGTTCCAATAATAGACAGCAATAGGAGAAGAGATTATCTCACGCTGAAAAAAACACAGATATATTTTTGTTTGGCATTGTGGTAAATAGTTATTTACCAAGAGCTGTTTTTAGCACATTTAAATGTGGCACAACCTTGGAAGACTGATTGTCCCATCCCTTCATAAGCATAATAATCCCAGAAGGAATTGCTCCAGAATTATAAGTAAATTGTTTTGCTGTAATTGGGTATTTATAATGGGACAAAAATTCCACATATTTAAAAGGCACTCCTCTGTTGTTAAATAGTCTAGCATAAATCATATTATTTTTTGCCCAATTATCAAAGTAAATGGACTTATTTTTATACAGTAAATCTTTGTTTTACCAATATAAATAATTATGTGGGCAAAAGTTGTGCTTGTAGATCAAAGACCATGATAACAGACACTGTTTGTGAAACAAAGATAATTTGGAAGGAATTTTCTCAGGATTATTTTTACACAAGAGCAAAAAATTGAAACCCACCAATTTAGAGACAAATAAATTTGGTATAAAATTCCATAAAGAGGCAGGATTTTTAAGATGAGTTTTTAGTCGATCTGGATTCAGTTGTTGGGAGTGTGCTGTAGATATCTATATATTTTCATCCAGCAGATGGCAGTGTTGACACACCAAACTCTCCTCAAGTTGAAAAAGCCACCAAGGCACATCAAGGGCAGCTACTGTGTGACATTCCCTTAAGCATTGTGTGCTTTTGACAAATGCAAACCCTCACTCCGTAACTTTTATCAGTTTATCAAACCTTATCGAAACGCTTGATTCCTTTTCTGAAGTCCTGTTTGTTGTGTAACACATTGGTGCAGATTCTCTATGATGGCAGAAACAATCCCATTTGCAGTGTTTTGACCGTGTTGTGTGTTTGTTCTTGCAGGGTTTTGTCAGTAAACTGGACGAGTTCATCTGCTGGCTGAGAGACGCTCTAGAAACCACAGAAAACTGGACGCCGCCCAGAGCCGATATCGACAACCTCAGACTCTACCTGGAAACTCACCTTGTAAGTAAATGTCCATGCGTCGATATCCTTCAGTGTGCGAAAACAGAGGGGAACAAATGAACACATGGCCAGAAAGGATTCAACACTGCGATGATCATGCACGCTCTTATGCTACTTGAAATTCATCCCACAATGTTTGATGTTGTTGCTTGTTTTTGCTCAAATGTTCGTCGTGTCTCTCAGTTGTTGTTTTATTTAAAAATCAGCTCGCCTCAGATGTTTGTTCTAGTTTTGTATTGGAGGAATTCAAATGGGCACAAATGAGGGATTTGGTAACACAAAAGTTTTAGAGAATGATTGTAGACATCACTTTAGATCATTTGCTCCACAAATTTATTAACATGATACATTTATGTGCCTTTACATTTGAAAGAATGTGAGAGTGTATGTATGTTTTCCAGTTATGGGTTGCAGCCGGAAGGGCATTTGCTGTGTAAAGCATATGCTGGATAAGTTGGCAGTTCATTCCGCTGTGGCGACCCTGATTAATAAAGGGACTAAGTCAAAGGAAATTTATTATATTATATTATATTATATTATATTATATTATATTATATTATATTATATTATATTATATTATATTATATAAATTATACTATATAATATTAAATTATATTATATTTATTATTATATTATATTAAAATAAATTATATGAATTATATTATATTATATTATATTTATTATATTATATTAAATTAAACTATATAAATTATATAATATTATATTATATTATATTATTTTTTATCATATTATGATATTATATTATATTTAATTATATAAATTATATTTTATTTTATTTTATATATTGTGTTATATGATGTTATATTATATTCTCTATTATAATAATAAGTTATGTATTATTATATTCTAAATTATATTATATTGTATTAAATTAAATAAGATTATTATATCTTTCGGAAATCTGATATATGACCATGTATGAACATTTGTATTTGGGCTGCACGATAATGAAAAAAATGTGACATTATGATATTTTTTATCTCTGCAATAAATATAATATTTTTCTATATAATTTCACCAGATGACTTAAATAACTATTTTTGCAAAGACTTTAGTTTGACTGAGATGATTTTATAGGGGAGTGAAACATAAATATATTTTTATGTAATTAATTAAATACACATGATAAAAAAAAACATACAGTCATAAAACAAAACAAAAAAACGTAATTATGGAACAACAATACAGTCATAAATAAACACACTGGAGCAAATATCATAATTAACTTTCACTCTATTATGCTTAAATTCTACATATTCTCCACAAATCTCATTTGTTTTGACCTTTTTTTCTTGTTTATCTAATCCCAACTCAACATTGCATATCTTGTGATGTGACTTTTGCAAGACTTTTCCAACACACATTGCAAATATCGATGCTCAAACGATATATTATGCAGCCCTAATTTATATGAAATTATAGCTTGTATACAAGTAATACAGGTAATATGTTGGTGCATTTGAACAAAACTGATTCATTAAACATATATATTTATTAAAATATTTTAATCACTGAACATCTTTAGAAATTGATTTTTTTATTCATGCAAAATATTGCAAAAAAACTTTTAACATAATTTTAACATAATTTAATTTTAACATAAATTTAGTTTTTGTTGTTTCTCTTGATTTTAGTTTTTTTTTATTTTCATTTTATATTTTTTAAAAGATTTGAATATTTTGTTTTTTTATATTTAACATTTATTTAATATTATATTTAATATATTATTTAAATATTTTTAGTTAGATTAGCTCCAAATTTGGCTTTAGCACTGACTAATCTAATGTATACGAATACATATAGCAAACAGTATTTATATTATTATAGTATAGCCATTCTAATATTGTAAATAGACAATATGAATTTAAATGAGAGATTTGTGAGGGGTGAACTCGTATATGCTTAGCACTGTACATATTTGTATTTGTAAAAAATGTAATCGGCTATTTTTGCAATATTTTTAATTGCATCTATGACATATTTTATTTATGGGTAATCCAAACTTGAACTTTATATTATATTATATTATATTATATTATATTATATTATATTATATTATATTATATTATATTATATTATATTATTTTATGTTATTTTATGTTATTTTATGTTACGTTATGTTATATTATATTATGTTGTATTATATTATATTATATTATATTATATTAAATTATATTATATTATATTATATTATATTATATTATATTATATTATATTATATTATATTATATTATATTATAATATATTATATTATATTATGTGGAAATCTGGTAAATGACAATGTATAAACATTTATATGAAATTATAGCTTGTATGTTTGAACATATATGTACAGTGCTCAGCATAAATGAGTGCACCCCATTTTGAAAATGAATATTTTTATCCATTTCTTAATGAATATAGGTCATATATATTGGTGCATTTGAACAAAACGAATTTATTAAACAAATACATTCATTAAAATAAAATTTTAGTCATCAACAATCTTTAGAAATAGAAAGATAATACAGTTAAATGCATGCAAAATATTGCTAAATTTTGAACTACTAAATTTTACAATTTTTTTACATTTTTTGTTTCTATTGATTTCTTTTCTTTAAAAAAAATATTTAATATTGTTGATTATTATTATTTTGATTTTTATGTTATATTCAATATCAATTTAATATTATATTGAATATATTATTTTAATATCTTAAGTTAGATTAGCTCAAAATTTGGATTCTGTACCGACTAATCTTATGTATATAAATAAATATATTATAGTAAACATAGTATTTATAGTAATATAGTACTAATAGTACTACAGTACTAACTAATATAATATTGTAATGCATCCTATATAGAACAATATTTTATTTTATTTTATTTTATTCATTTTGGCTCCAATAGTTGAGATCTCTTAAGCTTAAAAAAAAATAATAATAGTTTTTCCTTCTTCTGGAGAGACCAGAGATCAGAGCAAACGTCTCCTTAAAACTAATGACTCTCAAGGAGGAGCAGTTGAGATATTATGACCAGCGAGTCTTTCCTTGCGGGATCACGAAGCGTCTGAGAGAAGCGTTAGCGCGTTTGTTTATCCATCTGTCCGTGCGAGCAGCCGTCTGTATACAGCGGGAAGGAAAATCACATTGTGTTTTATAGTGAGGAGCTTCAGTCATTTTTATTGATTTGGAGAGCAGGGTCACACACACTCGCTGTCTCTCATCCAGCGCTCAGGCTCTCAGGATGTGCTCGCAGGTTTAATGTCTGGGCATTAAGTCCAGCTGGCAGGTGGGAGAGAGTGTGTGTGTGTTTGTGTCCGTCAGTGTTCATATGTGTGTGTGGATCTTTCCGGTACCCACAGGAGAGCCGTAAGAAGGAGGTTGGCTGTTGCAGGGTAGGAAGAGAAGGAAAAGAGAGAGAAAAGGAGTGGGCTTTCTTTATAAGGCATTGAGAGATTGTGAAATGAAACAGCTATTGATTGCACTGGGTGGCGGATCCAGGTCTCTGAATCACATTAACGACACGCGCGCGCTCACACACACACACACACACACACACACACACACACACACACACACACACACACACACACACACACACACACACACACACATACACATACACATACACATCGGCCTCCAAATGAGACAGAGAAACAAGGGCCTCCAGTCACACAGATAGTGAGTTGTGCTCCTGCTTTCCAACATGCACACACACACAACACACACACACACACACACACACACACACACACACACACACACACACACACACACACACACACACACACACACACACACACACACATTAAAGCCATTCTTTATGTGTCCGATAGTACATAAAGCACTGAGTTCAATTGTGTGGCGTCCTCTGATAGGTTTGAACTGAAAGGACAGTGTGTAAAAGGGTGATTAAAGACTGTTTAAAGAAGTTTTGTGGATTTTTTGAGGTGCATTTGCCTAATGGTAGTAGTCTATGGCATTTTAGAGGTAATTATTGTGGTTGTATATTCATACTTTTTTAAAAAACATTTTTTTTTTGGTGTTTAGGTTGAAGTATTATATTATATTATATTATATTATATTATATTATATTATATTATATTATATTATATTATATTATATTATATTATATTATATTATATTAATTATGTCATGTTATATTATATTATATTATATTATATTATGTCATATATTATATTATATTATATTATATTATATTATATTATATTATATTATATTATATTATATTATATTATATTATATTATATTATATTATATTATATTATATTAATTATGTCATGTTATATTATATTATATTTTTATTATATTATATTATATTATTTATTTTATTTTATTTTATTTTATTTTATATATAATATTGTATTATATTATGTTATATTATATTCTCTATTATAATAATAAGTTATATATTCTCTTATATTATAAGTTTGTAGTATTGTTTGGTAAAAAATAAATTCTGAAAGTAAATATTTGGCCTTAAAACATAAATAATAATTTATATTTAATAAAATATATCTAAGAACATTATATTAAATTATATTAAATTACGAAAAAGTAATGATTATGCCATATTAAGTTATTATATATTAAGTTTTATATAATTGTATACACTTAATTTTTTTTCCATAAATCATATAAATTCCATATAAATATAATAGTTAACTACAATTCTGTAGCGATTGGTAAACTATAATTAAGGCTCAACATTGCATATGTGACCATTGTGGATGCGCACAGTGTGATATTGATGCTGAAATGATTCATTGTGCGGCCCTAGTTTATAGTTAACGTTATATTATTTGGGATCTGTCTGATGTATAGTTGATATAACGTTTGCTCAGATATATGTTGTGTAGGGGGATATGATGCATGTACAGTAAAAGTGAGAAGCTTCTGAGTAAAAAAAATGTTGAGAAAGGCTGCAGACATAGATTTGACCTTGTGTCCATCTCAGGTTTTATCCATCTAAAA